TAAGCCATTATCGCCAATATAGTGAACCATAAATACAATAAAAATCGATAATTTATTTCTAAGACACATTTGATATTAACAAATAGATGCTTATATCAAAATAAATACTTTTATCGCATCTGGGGTTTAAAGTAGAGAAACTTTGTCTTTTATACTACATTATTAGGACAAATATTTGAATAGTTATGACGATAGACAAGCGAGTGCGCGATATTATGGTGCGGTCCGGCGGCAGGGTCTGACCATACAGGTAGCAGGCATACATTTGAGCACGAAATGTTTTTCCCACGGCCAGCTCTATGTGGCTTACTCACGCGTTTTTAAATCGCAAAATCTGCATGTTTATACAGACCGAAATAAATCGCTTAACATATTTTATAGGAGTATATTGTACCTATAATTTTGCATTACCATCAATCATCATATACTTTCGTACCTATCTATCCTTACAAACTATAGTGTTTATAATACCTATTAGTAAGATAATCATAAAAAAACACTTAGTTCCTATTTCTATACATCACACAATATAATTGTTCGAACACTTATAACTGGAGAATAGCTGGACCGACTTTCATTTTTAATTTGTTGGATTTGTCTCCGTCCCGAATAGCAAGTTAATTAAAATTGTAAATTAAAAAAATTGTAAAATTGACAAAAAATAAAACGCTTTCTATCATCATTATCACAATTTTCCATCACCACGCGGGCGAAACTGCGGGGCGCAACTAGTTTTATATAATTTAAACTTTATTTTAAATTTTTACCATATATGTTGCTTACTTTTACATTTCATGAATACATATATTAAGGATAAAGTTAGTTAACGAATATTTTATTTATCACAGCTTACACACAGCAACGAGAGAAGAAAATGTACCGGATAATATGGAAGTAAGACGGCTGATATATGAACACAAAATAGAACCAGCCATTACCAGAGTAAAACATTACGGTCTCACGCTAGCTTCTAAAACGAATCTGCCAGAGGAAACTATCAACTTAGCAAAAGAATTGGTAGAATTTATTATGAAAAAAGCAAAGGTAATTGAGTGCAATATTTATTCGTATTTGACAAATACCGTATGAAATCGATCATGCATCTTTCCGCAAATATTCATAATCTCCTTCTTGTTTGGAACAATTTTTCCAAAGAAACTATAGTCATTGAAGTAACCGTTTCTGAGAAAAATAGCTTAGAACTGTACTAAAAATTTACGATATTCCAACCTTGCGATCTTGCTGAAGGTCATGTGTCACGCCGCGCCCCGAGTGCGTTCACGAAGTGCGGCCAGTCGCGTGCTGGCGATCGATCGTTTCGCCACGTCTCCGTAGCTGATTTGCGCTGCCTGTACCTGTCTTTTAACCATCCAAGACATTTTGTTATAAGTGCTACGTTTACGATATCGCCGTTTTTGAAACTAAGAAAATGAGTGATTAATATTGAAGTATTTAATAACAATACCTTTCACTGCTATTAAATATAGAAACATAATTTATTGTTGGCGAGTTTGCAGAGGTGACATTGTTGCGGTTCTAATATTTACTATGAAACTTACCATGATACTCAACAACCTGTGCATCCGTAAGTAATATTAAGTGCTTTGTATCGTTTACGCAATAATTTGTCTAAATTTGCCTTGTCTGTTTAAAGATGAGTGGAACACATATGGAAAATGAGAGACTAATAATATTTTCGACGACCTTTACATCACTGTCAATGTCAAGTGTCATTGGAAGTTAAGTGACTAAATAAATTCTTTAAAAAATAATACATCGCATAGCCCGAGCGTGGGGAAGAATTCGAGTTCGTCACATAAACCGGCATACTGTACGACGCAGCGCGCGGTATCGGGCATGGCGCTCACGATGGCAGTCTTTCTAAGCATTTTGTAGGGTTGTGTCTATATAATTTTATATTATTTATAAGTATATTATCATTTATATATTTTTGTTGTATTACTTTGGCAAAGTTGTTCTAAAAAAGAAGCAGTTCAGGAATATTTGCGCATAAGATGCATAATCGATTCCATCCTATATAAAAAGTGCATTACAACTAACTACATTTTTTACAGCCACAAAGTTTTGGAAGGTTAGAAGAAAGCGAAGATAGGCTATTATACACTCTGAATGCTGAAATCAGACGCGAAGAAAGAAGAAACACGAGTACATCTGAGGAAATTATAAGGCGAATTATAACCATGTTTAAAAGATCCCATCCACAATTGGTTGCCAAATTACGAAGCGAAAGACGAAATGCGACCAGCGGTAGCACAGACAGCTGCAAAACGTCTGCGAAATCTTTTGATAACGTACACAAAAGTAGTACATTAGTTTCAGATACTCTTACGAACTCCAGTAACTGCAATAGAAATACAAGACCAGTTATTGTGAATATGTCTGTTGAAACTAACATAGATGTTGAGCCTGTTCCGTCTGAAGAACTGTCTTCTACAATTCAATCCACTAAAAAACTACTAAAAACCGTAATTGAAAATGACGTTTCAAAAACTGTTGTTAACGTTTCGATAGATTGTATTGATCAGCCGCCACAAGATACATTTGAAGCAGAAGAAGACACAGTGATTTTTATTCCAGACTCAATCAAAGAATTCCAAAGAAGTAAAGCACAAAGAAATACAAGCAATCGTGCATCTCCATTCAGAACCCAATATAGTCTTCGGGATGTTAACAATGCACGACTTGAAAATTGTAGTAATAGCTTATTACAAATGCAAGAATTAGACAAAGAATTAGATAAAACGCAGTTGATAGACGAAGATGATAAACATACCAGGAATATGAGATACAAGTCACCAATAGCTAATGTAATTGAAAACACCGTATTGATAAGTGACAATCGATCAATATTATCATTATCATCAGATGATATCGAGTTGATGGAACAAACTTTAGAAGAAATTAACAAAGATACAAATGATTTGTGCGAAACAGTCAATCTTGAAGATGTAACATTTTCCTCTAGTAGCTCTGAAAATACTTTATCTGATTATATTTTACTTACGCCTCCCATGGGTTTCAGAGATGATACTTTAAACTTTGTTTAATTTAATTCGAATTTTCTTGTTAAAATGAATAACTACAAATGGTTCAAAAAACGCATTGTACTAAAAACAACTTAAATACATAAATAAATTGAATTTATAATTGCTGTTTGACTATCATTTAAAAGAATTAGAACCTCTTCTATGATCTCCATTTAAACTTACATTTAACAAAAAGTCACTTTTAAAATAAAATCCGAATTCAAAACCTAAGGAATTTAAATATAGCAAAAAAATAATTCATTAACTTTTATTCATTCAAATTTCAATTTGAAAATGAAAAATTGCCATTTTTTTTAATTAAAAATATCTATATCCCTAAAATTAATGATAAGATTTTTAAGGGACTTAAAAATAAGAATAAATCTTTTCGTATTTTTCTACAACGTACGATTTTTTTAAATTAACTGACTTCCTTTAAACTTAAAACCCTCTTAACTTGGTTAATTTTGAGCGGAGAAAATGGCACCTTTTTTATGTAAAATTTTAAGCTCTACACATTTTAATCAAAACTTTTTGTCTAACTTTTAACGTTTTCGAGTAATTGCAAAAAAACACATTGTAATTTTACAACCCTTGCCGGAGGTTACAGGCACGAAAACCTTTACACACTGTTTTTTTATCAATAAAACAACATTATATTAAAAATATAAAATTACATGCCAAAATTTTGATTTCAAACCTTATTTGTCCGCGCTAAAAACGGGATGGTGAAAGAGGCTCTTAGTGTATATTTCTATATATTAACGCTCTTTTTGAAACGTATGAATTGCGTTACCACGTAGAATAGCCATGAATTTAAAAATTATACCGGAAAAGTTATGATTAGGTATGAATTTTTACATACATATACATTTTTTTCTGATTTTCACACAAAGCACAAAAAACAAATGAATACTAAATAATTTTCTAACAAGGGAATAAATGTATTATAATACAATACATAACTTTATATCCAGCGATTTTGTAATTTTGAATTCAACTTATGAAGTTAATAGCTGTAATGAACAAACTCTTTTGAAATTATAGTACTTGAGTCTATATTTACCACTTGTTAATGTTAACAATAATGTTCCGCCAATAGAGGAAGTTATGAGAATGTTAAAATCATTGCACAAAATCGTAAAGCACAAGAAAGTCAAAAAACAATATACATAATTTTTAGATTTTTCGTTTCTGTTGCTGGACAAAAATTGTCCTGTACCACCTGTAATCAATGGTCGCAGGTGGTTCAGGTCGACCCACTATCTTGACCAGGTTGTCAATACATCTAGTGAATGACCTTCTCACGTTAGGACGTCAATGTTGAAGTTACCACTCGAGAATCTTTATTCTTCAACGATTATCGGCTTTATGCGTGATTTATGAGGCACTTTACATATTGATTCTGTCCGTTATTTTGGTTTTTCTAAACATTTCCTAGGAAAAAAATTCCCGACTTCAGTTCACCTACGAAGCTACAGTAAGAAAAATATCTAGCATTCAAAACAACTTGTTTATCTGCTTAAAAAAAGGGATGGGTCTGTATTTTTTTTAGTAAGGTGTTATCTCCTTTTTTGAAGAACAGGTGCATGCCTGTCTCACACTTCAGGCGTTTTACTACTGCGAATATGTGGAATTAAATAACTTCAGGATTGTAATCCTGACAACTTTACTTGTAAGTAAAGTTGTCAAGTTTTTAAACCTGAATAGCCAGACAAATCAGCCATTTTATCTTCTGTACGTTTAGGTAAAAAGGCTAGAATTTTTTATTGTTTGTCACAAAATCTTTTCAAGTTCTAATGAAATAATAATGAAAATGAATGAATGAATCTTTGTTGGAACGAAGTTCGTTATCGTACGTTACATTCAGGCGTTCGGCTGATAGGCACTACACGAAAAAAAGAGTAACTTAAACAAAAATGCTGATCGCATTTTTGTAAATTTGTTTATCAATGTTCATATCACGCTGAATACACAGGTTCTCGTCCGATTACTGAAATTAAGCAGCATCAGGCGCGGTTAGTACTTGGATGGGTGACCGCCTGGGAACACCACATGTTAACTTTTTTTGATGCTGTATTATTTTATACTGGTGTAAAATAGTTATTGTACTCCTCCATAAAGGGAAAAGCTCACGGAGGTTTTCAAAAATTTCTGCTTTACAAGTTTCTTCTGCGTCGTTGGTAAACTGTATGCGAAAATCGTTATCGAAAGAGTTGTAAATGAGACTAAAAACCAGATTTGGGACGTACTAACGAGATTTCGAGAAGGAGTACGAACCAAATTTTTTCTCAGCGATACAATACAGAATAGTTTTTGGCCAACGGCCAAAAGGTTTTCTCTATTTTCGTTGATCTGGAAAAATCTTATGATAGAGTGAAAAGAAATAATCTATGAAAAACTCTATCCATGCATGGTGGGAGTAACGGATTGGTTCAAGCAATGCAATCCCTATACAGGACTCCAGTGCTTGCGTCAGAATAAATGGGTCATATACTGACTGGTTTGACATCCGCAGGGCTGTCAGACAGGAATGTATAACTCCACCGTCGTTATTCAATCTATTCATGGATAGCTGTTTGTATGATTTGAAAGAGTATGAGTGTGGATTACGGATGGATGAGCTGTCTATTAAATGCCTCCTGTAGTCTGACGAGTAATCCTTGCGCCAAGTAATCCTTGCGGCATCGGCGTGCGGGCTGCAGGAGATGGTAAATAAAATGAATGATTCTGTTAAGAAAAGACGTATGAAAGTAAATGTCGACAAAAATAAGGTGATAGTGTTTGAAAGAGGCAAAAGCACGACTGAATGCGATATACTCATAGAAGGTGAGAAAGTCGAACAAGTGAGAGTGTTTGTATAATTGGGTAGTCTGTTTACAAATGATAATAAACATGATAGAGATATCGAAAGGAGAGTGAATGCAGGAAATAAAGAGAATGAGGCCTTGCTTGATATTATGAAAAGTAAAAGCATCTCACGACAAGCGCGCTTGGCTATCCATAATGGAATCCTAATTCCTTTGCTTATGTATGATAGTGAAAGCTGGATATGGCGAAAGAAAAATGAAAGTAGCGTCAATATAGTGGAGATATGATTGATGCGTAGTATGTGTGGAGTGTCTCAGAAAAATAGATGTAGAAACAGTGATGTTAGAGAGCGGTGTGGCTTGAAGGAAGATGTAGTGGCTAGAGTGGAAAGAGGTATGTTGTGGTGGTTTGACCATCTAGAAAGGATAAATAAAAGTAGATTGACAAAACTAATTTAGAGAGCGAATGTAGAAAAATCGGCAAGGGTCGTCCTAGAAAATCCTATGCAGACTATATTGATGGCATATTAAAAAAGGGCCAAATTTTAAGCATCCGAAATCGACGAGATTGCATTAAAAGATTGATGGATGTCAGTGAGGCAAAAGAGATATGCAAAGATCGCATCATGTGGAAATCTATAGTTTCTGCCTACCCTTTTGGAAAATAGGCGTGAGTTTGTATCATTATTATTATATGTACATATTTGCAAATTCTGTATTTCTACACGCATTGGGCACATGTCACAACCTACTTACAAAATAGCAACAAGTTGTTGAACAAAATGGCATAAAGTAAATCATTTTGTTATTCTTTAAATTTTCCAAATTTTAATAAAAATTGTACACAATGCAATCCGAATTTGAAACATTGCCTTTAAAACACTACATGAATCCAAATATAACGCAACATATGTTAATCCTAATCTAAATAAGCGGCAACCAAGACAATTTGCACAATACTCAATTTTTAGCAGCACAACGAATGTTCATCTTAAAAATTTTCGCAAAATATTTCATTCTTGTATTGTATATTTTTTTAATAAACCAAAAAAAGTAATAGTTGTTGGTGCCAGTTTAGGCATGAAATTAATGTATGTGGATTAAAGACTGGAAACCTTAATTTAAATAGGTTAATTAAAATTGATTTTTTATAAATATTTTTCATGTAGTCAGGTTTGTTTATATAAAGCTATATCAAAAGCTGTGGTGGTCAAGAGAATTACGTTCAAACTATAATATTGTTCCGATTTAGAATCTTGACTGCGACCAACTGGCCAATTAGTGTTAAAAATAAAAGATATTAAAGCACTCGTTCTGATCTCATAGAGTACATTGCCTTCAGTCCTAAAGCTAGGTTATGCAACACAACGGCATAGTTCATAAAGATCGTTAGTAACCTCCGTATTATATTTATATTTGAAGCCTTCAGACGTGAAGAGCCTAACAACGGTGAATACTGAGAGGAGTCATTATTTTTAGGATCCTCTTGGACTCCGTCTAGATTGGCCCTATATTGCATTGGTGTTGTACTGATTGGACTCCTACTATACAACCCCTCTGACAAGAGCGGATCCAGCCTTCGTGTCAGCGGAGTTAGACATGCGAGTTTTAGAAAGGACTGGCTCTAATTACATTACAATAATAAGTCATATACACAGCTCAGGGGGGTCATGACTCCTACAACCCCCCTTTGAATCCTCCACCACCTACTAACTCGATCCACCCTCATAGCTTAAAACCCAAACCCTCAATCTGAAACAAAAAGTTACGAGTGTGTGAGTGATAAAAATAAAATGCAAAATTATATTAATTTATTTATGACTATCAAAATATTTAAGATGTTTTGCCTTTTTCGTGTTCTGAAAAATGCAACATATGATGCACATTAAATAGACATTAATAATTCAATAATAATCTTAAATTTTATGTTAATGATCTGGTTATTCATAACTGTTTATATCGTGAATATTGATGTTTTTAATTTCAATACGTTGCTGTATATCACAACTCCTTTGTCGTAACCCGGTTTCAAATAAAATTAAAAAAAATATTGCAAATGGCTGACAACTAAGCTTTATGTCGATGTGCTTGTTTATGATTGTTAAGTTGAATTTCTTTAATTGGTGGTTGAATTACGAATTTACGGGATAGGAATAAAAAGAAGTATGTGATTTATATAAAGTTTTATCTATTTCGTTTTGTTTTATCTATAGTTTTTTCATATTTTGTCTACGCACTTTCGGGAAATAACCTTTCAGATTTTGTTCTAATGTGGTATTTAGAGAAGAATTTCGTCTTTTATTTTATTATTGATTAGAACGTATACATATTATTTTTAGAGGCGAGCAGCCATGTCGCTGCCGCCATATCTCCTGGGGCCCAACCCCTGGGCTACAATGATGGCTCAGCAACAGCTAGCGGCAGCGCAACAAGCGGCGTTGCAAGCGCATGCTGTTGCTGCGGCTGCAGCGCCGCCTGTGCCCGCCCCTCAACCCCCGAAACCTCATCACATACCTGAGGAGAAGCTTAAGGAAAAAGGTATTTATATAAAATATTAATTACAAAAAGATTTTTTAATTTATTTTTGTAATAAATAAATTTGTTATGAGAGTAACTATGTCAGTGAGATTAACGGTTTCTTTATTTATCATATATAAGATTGTTATATATATCTTATGAACATACTCCATGAAATAGATCAGGATTTTACACTTGGAACTCCACTTTTGTAATGTTTAAATTTAACTTAAAAACAATGCGTCTATGTTTTATCGAAATACATTATTTAGAAGAGTGGAAATGCAAATGACCTTTATAGCCCAAGTCGGATTCTGTGCTGGAGGAATGTACTGGTATAAAATATTTTTACAATTTGTTACCACAGAACTAAGACTAGTTTTTTTTAATTTACAAATAAAGTTTAAGACTAGCTGATCCATGCAAAGGCTTCGCACAATATTGTGATCCAATAATAAATGTGAATTTAATAGAAAATTAGTAAATATGTAAATTCTCGATGTTCTGAAAAAAAATCGCAAGGGTCAGCTAATATGGATGATTGAAAACCATTTAAAAAGGAAACTAAAAAAATTGATATTGGCTTTGACAGAAATAATTTTTTTTTAAACTTTTTTATTTATAAACTTTTTTAAATACAATATTATCAGTTATAATATGATCATCATTGACTTTTTGGCTGTTTCTTTAATAGAAACATGGATATCATAGAATTTACGAACTCATGAAAAAGCCACCTCTAACTCTCTATGCGAAAAATAATAGTTTGGTTTGCTTGGTAGATTATAAATATTAATGCATAAAAAGATGAACTTGCGGGTGTCATGTTAGTTACAACAGATTGTTTAGAAATGGTGCCTTTTACATTCATAGTTAATTATTAGGACTTGAAATTAATTCGTAGCGTTTAATAACAGATGGCGTAAGTAGTACTGTATTCCTTTCGTAACGACAGTAATTTATTTATTGTAAACGGGCTGATATCAGGTGTTATCACCATTATTATTTTATTTTAAAAACGTAAACAACAACATTGATTAATTAAAAATGTCAAAATTTGTGCCAAATAAAGTGTTTTCGCGGGGAGTTTTGTTTCATTATTTTAATATGGGTATAACCACTGCCGAAAGTCATCGATTCCGTTGGAAGTTTACGATGAACAAGCTCTAGCTGAGCAAACATGTAGGAAGTGGTTTGAGCGTTTTAAAAGTGGTGATTTCGAGCTAGATGACAACGAACAACCTGGACAGCAAAAAAATTTGAAGATATTTTAAGAAGAATTACAGGGCTTGCTTGACGTAGATTCGTGTCAAACACTTCAAGAATTGGCTACATTGTGGCAGTTGATTTATCAACGGTAGGAAAACGCCTCAAAGCAATGGGAATGATCCAGAAGCAGGGTTATTGGGTGCCATATGAATTAAAACTGAGACATTCAGAGACATTTTTTAACCTGTGAATTGCTGCTTGAACGACAAAACGAAAAGGTTTTTTGCATCGAATTGTCACTGGTGATGAAAAATGGATCCATTATGACAATCCCAAGCGTAGAAAGTCATGGGTAAAGCCCGGTCAGCCATCAACATCATTGGCGAAGCAGAACATTCATGGATCCAAGCTTCTGCTCTGTATTTGGTGCGATCAGAGGGGAGTGATTTATTATGAACTCCTGAAACCAAAAGAAACCATAACTCGGGATCGCTACTGACTACAATTGATACGTTTGAGCCGTG